TGGTGTGGTGTGGTGTGGTGTGGTGTGGTGTGGTATGGTGTGGTGTGCTATTATATAGTATGGTATAGTATAGTATAATATAGCATACTATATAGAGATATCACTATGGCTAGCTGGATATACTGCTTTGAACTCATAAAAGTTATCTCAAAAATCTTAGGGCAATTTAAGCTATTAAATTTAAGCACTAAGATTTTGGGGATATCCTGTGTTTGGAGATCTCCTGCTAAGGAGTCAGTAGACTTTGATGTCTCAACTTCCCTCCTTCCTCCTTAAGGAAGTTCCTGGAGACTTCAGTTGATGATTTTTTGACAGCTTGTTAATAACCAAATATGTCCATCAGTGGGGTAAACTGTCTCTGAGTAAGTGAGTTCCTGGTCACAGTAGAACTTAGGTGACTGAAAGTTATTTTTCCTGTGACCTTGCTTGAACTCATACCATCGAGAAATAGAATGTGAAGCTCTAGGCTGTTATCTTGGCTGGTTTACTTGGAAGGAAAAAATTAACCAAGGTCATATTTTGCAAGCATGCTCTTTGAGGGCCATTGAGATCAAGGTTGGAGGGGGCATAAACCTTGTTTCCTGTCCCCAAGGGCTGATGGTCCAAACACAAAGCTACCACTATCTTCCATGGGAACTCTTTTACAAGTCCCCCTGGAGTCTGGAAAGCTAAAACAGGCACAAACTCAGCAAGCCATCTCTTCTTCAAACTTTTGTCCTTTTTTTCAAACTAGAGAGAAAATATAGGAATGCATTGGAAAACAGGAATATTTGATCTTCGAGGGACTTTACAGATCCCTGAGTCCTCTAACCTCATTCATTTTACAGATAAAGAAGCAGAGGTGCAGAGAAGTAAAGACACTTTCTTAAGATAACAAATATGAGTAATAACAAAGTCAGGACTAGAAGCCCAGTTCTCCTGACTTCTAGTACAATGCTTTTGAAGCAATCATTTAGGGAAAAAAAAAAAAACTCCGGCTCATTTTTTTAAGTACCCAATTTAAAATTTCATATTATTGGATTGAGAGGCAATATGGTATAATGGATAATATTCCAGACTTGGTGTCAAGAAGACCTAGGTTCAGAAAGACCCTGGACAGGTCACTTAGCCTTTGAGTACGCCCACCCAGGAACCCTCTGGGACTATGGGTTGAAGTTGTTGTGCATTGATAGAGAGCATTTTCTCGATGGGCACTCCCTATACAACACAGACACAGACACAGACATAGACATAGTCATAGAAGTAGATATAGATATGAGGGTACCGCCAAGTAATATATTGCTTCAGTATGCATCTCCTGGAGTATACCACATGCAAGAATTGATTTGGGGTTGACCCTCAGGTGAATAATTTAGGAGGGTAGGATAATTGAATTAAATGTACACTGTAGAAACCCCCTAAAATTCTATAAGGCACCTTCTTCTTAGACCCTACCCAAAGAGAATTAGTCCCTCACTGAAGCCCCCAAGGATGTCTTCCTGAGACAGTCTTACTTATGAGGCAGGTCTGTGGCACAAACCCAGAGGACAGACAGCATTGAAAAGGTTGAAAGGACTTGCTGGAGTATATTAAGCTAGGATGATAATTGTGTGATTTTTAAAATTTAGTGAAAATATTACTTTCCTCTTTCTTTTTTACTTCATTTCCCCAAATGATGGTTTTGTTTCTCCTTTTCTACTTCTGTGGCTCTCCATACTCACTGTTGGCTTATATTCATACAAAAATATTCATGGGCAATATCAAGAACTAAGAGCATAATACCTAAACTTGGGTTTCAGTGGGTGGGAGGGGCTAAAAATTAAACTATGTGGGCAAAATACTCTTCTAGACATCTCAATTTGATTTAGTAAGTGGTAACTTTTAAAAGCCATTCATTCCCCAAGCATTGATTGAAAACCTAATATAGCAGTTCTCAAAGTTTGGCCCATGGACCCCTGGAGACCCCTGAGACCCTTCCAGGGGGTCCTTGAGGTCAAAACTATTTTCATAATAATATAAAGATTAAAATACTCCTCTATTTTTCAACTATATAAATTTGTGAGGCCAGATTTTCTTCACATATTTAAACCAAAACATTTCACAGCAGATTTAACACAGAAGCAGATATGAGAATCCAGCTGTCTTCTATTAACTTAGACAATAACTTTGCAAAAATATGAAAAACAATGCCATTTTTCTCACTATTTGGGGGTTTGGAAAATATAATTATTTTTATAAAAATATGTAATGTTAACATGTAATGAATTTATTGCTTTAAAATAAACTAATACATATTTTAAATTTTTTAACACTTTTAATTTCTACCACCAAAAACATATAAACAAAAACTATTTGGGGCCCCAATAATTTTTAAAAGTGTAAAATAGTTCTGAGATAAAAAATTTTAAGAGCCACTAGTCTAATATGTGCAGAGAAAGCACTGGACTAGGTGTTTTCTTCAGAGGTACAATGTCATCAGTATATAGAGTTTTACCTTATTACCACTGCTGCAGGAAGTCTCAAGAATGACCTGAGTGCTTTTCCCAATCTTTAACTCTTCCTAATGTAAGAATAACTTTCCTCGAGTGTCAGAAATGCTGAATATTTCATTGTGAGCAGGGTTTGAAGTCAAAGCTCTGGATTTGAATCCCTGACTACCTATGTGACCTTGGACAGATCAATTCACCTTTATGGGCCTCAGTTTCCACATCCATATAAGGTGGGTGTTGGATTAGATCAACTCAACACTCTTAAAAATTATTGCAAACCCCTCAAAGAGCTTTTTTGTGGTCATATCAATTGATATTTACCAGATTTTAAGTTAAAATGTCTTAATATTATTATGAAAATCGTTTTAACCTGTGGACTCCCTAACATTGCTTCTCTTCCTCCTGTGTGCTGAGCTGGAGTGCTTCTTATTTGTAGATTACTTTGTAGTGGGATTGCATTTTTCAAAATGTTCAAAGTTCAAATCAAAAGAATGCAGGTTTTGTTCTGGTTGTTTTTTCCCTTCCTCCCCTACTCCCCTGCCCCCCACATAAGCTTAGTTGTTTCACTCTCCTTGGCATAGCTAAATCACTGAATTTGTGCAAGTGTACCTTTTATCCAAGAAAAGTGGATATCAAAACAAGGAACTGTAAGCACCTTGAAGGCAGGTCCTGTTTTCATTTTTGTCTTTGTGTTCCTAGCCCAGTATCTGACAGAGAAGTGCCTGGTAAATGCTTATTGAATTGTATTGAACTGAATTTTCTACTAGCAAGGAAGTGTGGGAGGCCAATCTACTGCCTGGCACATAATTCATCAAATCAGAAAAATATTTTTTCCTAGGTTAAAAAAAAGTGTCTAGTAAATAGTTTTAATTTTATTAATTTAATTTTAAAATAAATGACTAATATTTTCATAGGTTTGTATAATTTTCTAAGATCTCTTCTCTTCTCTCCTCTCCTCTATTTCCTTCTCTTCTCCTCTCTTCTTCTCTCCTCTCTTTTCTTCTCCTCCCTCCTCTCCTTCTCTTCTCTCTTCTCTTCTCCTCACTTCTCTTCCTCTCCTTCCCATTCTTCTCTTCCTCCTTCATCTCCCCCACCCCATTTCCTATTCAGACCTGTGACAAAAGGAAGCAATTCCATGAAGAGACTGGAGGAGTGTTAGTCGTGGAACTTTCTATTCGTAGTGAGTACTTCTGATTTACAAACAATCTGGGGTCATCTTTAGTCATGCTGTGCCTGAACCCACAAGCAATGGGAACATTTGTACTAGCTTGTCAAGTCAGTCGTGGTGGTAGACTTAATGTTAGCCCTGGTAGCAAATCGATATAAGTGAATTGGCTATGCTGAGCCATAATCCCATTTATGGATACCTGTAAATGGTCAGTGACATCTCTTGAGACCCCTCATTGCATACCAAAGCTTGGCACTCGATCATGAGACAATGTTTTTTACTAACTCTCTCAGGACTGACACTTTTTATCTTGGTATGTATGACCCCTTAGCATAGAGCTTTGTATACATACAGTATGAACTTAATCAATGTTTGTTAAATGAATGAATGGATGGATGAATAAATGAATGAATGTCTATCTAAGTTATAGGATATATTTGTTCTCCAAACAAAATTCTCTGGAGGATATGATTTGTTTTCCAAACAAAATTCTCTGGAGGATATGAAAGTCCTGGTAGCCTGGAGTATATTTTTTTAAAAAATGAAAACAAAATGTAGCCTACTGCTTTCACTTTTGCTCAAGATATTATGTTAAGGTACCTTCCCTATAAGAAGTTTTCTTTTTTAAGATTACAATTGTGTTTTTTCCACTTAATATAGGCCGAGGCTTCTCCAGTCATTATACTTTCTCAGGTAAGAAAGTACCAGACCTTGAAGCAATGGGGTTCTGTTTGCTTGTAAGGGACAAGAAGCCTAAGTCACTTAGATTTGCACCAAAAACAAGATTTCACTTTGGTCTCAACAAAGTCTTCCAGGACTATGAATTAAGTTCCTTTAAAATTTTTAATTTTAATAAATTTTAATTTAATTTTAATTTTTTTAATAAAGTACTTCTACCATGCTATGAAAGTTGTTTCTATTGTGTGGGTGGGGAAGTAAAATGGAATAATTCCACCCCCTAACCCTCAACACCACTGTTAACCCACCCATTCCTCATCCCTTACCTGATAGAAATTGAAGGCCTCTGAGGAGACAGAGGCAAGGCAGGGGAAAACAGGTAAGTAGGAGTTGGTGAAGGGGTAATCAGAGAAGTACAGGGTGGGAAAGAGCAGAGGCCAAGAAGGGGAAGGAGAGGTAGAAGTGATCCAGGGTGTTTGTATTGGGACCTAGAGGAGAAAGAAGGCAGAAGAGAGCAGGATGTTAGAGAGAAGGAAGGAGAAGGCATGAAGAAAGGGGAAGAAAAAGGAGAGGAAGAAAGGAGGGAGGAAGGTGAGAAAGAAAAAAGAAGGTAGAAGAGCAGTAGATATTAACAGTGAAAGAAGAGAGGAGGAAGATGAAGGAAAGGAAAAGAGGGAGGAGGGGGAGGAGGGAGGAAGAGGAGGAGGAGAGGAAGAGAGGGAATGGGAGAAGGAGGGGGAAAAGGAGGAGAGAAGGAGAGGAGAAGGGGAACAGGAGGGGGTGGGGAGGAGGGGAGGACGAGCTAGAGGCTGAGGTAATTTTGAGCAGTCTCTAGGAGGAAGTTTCAGCTGCCAAAAACCTTTTTCTCTGAAGCACTCACTGTTGAGAACTGTTTATATTTCACTAAAGGCCAGACACTGACACCAAATAAGGGATTTTTAATTCTAATTCCTGTTTGTCCTTGCTGTGAAGCCTCTCGGATATCCTAAACATACAACTTTAGTTTGATTTCTGTGAGCTGCATGCCTGAAAAGTTGTATATGAGTTGATTTTTTGTAAAAACCCATCCAATTTTTAAACGACTGGGGGAGCTGGTTACTTAAAGGAATCCTTGGAGTCAGTGGATCCTTTATTGAAATAGAGTCATCTCCTATTTTAGGATTTGTAAGTTTAGACTCTAATATAGCTAGTTTGCTGTACATCTGCATTACCGTTTTTTGAATCCTTTCAATTTCCCAACGTCTTAGGAAGAATATTTGATGGAACTCAGGATATTTAGCCAGGAAAAGAGAGTGCTTAGATGCAGGGGTGGGAAAGCTTCAGCCGTGAGACCACAGGTGGCCTTCTAGGTAGTTGGGAGTGGCCTTTTGATTGAGTCCAAGTTTTACAGAACAAATCCTTTTATTAAGAGGATTTGTTCTGTGAAGTTTAGATTCGGTCCAAGGACCACATTTGAGGCTTTAGAGGGCCACATGTGGCCTTGAGGCCACAGGTACCCCAGTGGGGAACAAAGAGCTGTCATGTGGAAAACTGAAGAGACTGTGTGGCTCTAGAGAGCAGAGCGAGGATCAATGCATGAAAGTTACTCAGGGACAGACATAAGGATTTTCTAACAAGAGCTGCCCCCAAATAGAAGGAACTGCCTTGTAAAGGAGGTGTTCAAGTGGAGATGGAATGACCACCTGTGAGTGGCCTTTACAATTCCTTCCAGTTCTGAGTCCATAATTCTAATAAGATTCAACTTTTTGAAACCTAAACAAAATCCCACCTTATTGGATTTTGTAAAAACTTCCCTCAAACCTGACTCAAATGTCCTCCATTAGCTGGCGGCCATCATTTCCCTTTGTTGCATCAATTGAACAAGCCCCTTCCCCTCCCTAGGCCTCAGTATCCCCTGTAAAAAGGAGAAAGTTGAACCACTTGATCTCTAAAGCTCCATCTAGCTCTGTGTCAGGGGTTCTAAGCTTTTTTCTGTGTTTGGTTTGCAGAGATTCTCTATCACTTGGTCTTCATGCTTGGCTTCTTCACCGTGATAGGAGACCAAACGGCATCTGTGGCCCCTTGATCCAAGGTCACCCTTTGCTGATGACAAACTCAAGTTCATTTCTGCTGCCAAAAGCAAAACAAAATATTCTTTTATCAGGAAAGTGAATAAAACTTGGGCAAGTTTTTGTTTCAGTGATTTGTCTAAATTTCCCAGATTTGGAGGGTTTTTGTTTGTTTAGTTGCTGTTCCCCAATTTCTATCTGTTGCTACTTCTTGAGATTGAAAGGGGCTTTCCTACTCATTCAGTTCCTCTTCCTTTAATTGGGAGAGGCTTTTTGTCCCTTCCAATTTTAAAAGTCAAGGGCTGTTTGAAAACTGTGTTAAAGATAACAGTGCACTGACCAAACAAAGCTGACCTTTTGAAAGGGAGTTGAGGGGTCATTCATTTTGAGCCAATCCTGGTGTAGGATGCCTAAGAAAGGTCAGCTCTTCAGATAAGCATGATGCTATCTATGCAGAACCGCTAGGCTTGGGCTGCCAACCCCTGAAATAAATGTGTGATAACAAGGTAGAAAAGGTAGTGGACACTATGGGAAAACCAGGGGTCTCCAGCCTTTTCTCAGCATGCCACAAAATAAATTCTTGGTCTCCGACCACTTGAAGAGACTTCAAGCACCATCAATGAATGACTCTTTTTATTATACTAAAGTAATATAGCTCCTAGTGTAGTAGGCAGTCAATACTTATTTGCTGATCTGAATGAAGTAAGAATAGGAATACTTACTGCACACTTGTGTATACAAAGTGCTTTCAACATACCCCAGCTCATTTGAGAAATCTGAAACACCCCAAACTACACAAGTTACACACACACACACCCTCCAAAAACAAACAAACAGTTGCTGATTCAACAGTAGGAATTTATTGTAATAACTATATAAGCAGTAAAGTTTTCAGTTCAAACCACAGAACCCAAAGCTGTTTAGGAAGTTTTGGCTCTAGCAGTTTCAATTTTTAGTAGTAAGGAACACAGGAGAAAAGCATTTTATTCTAATCAGAAACGTCTTGGCTAGTAAATAGTAAATTTATGTTCACATTCCTGTGAATATAAATCTTTGGCCAGCAGAGCAAATCAATGCCTATGTTTGGTCTGGTTTATTTTATTATCAATTTTTACAGTCCTGTATATCTATCTGCCTGGTGCTATGTAATAAAAAGTTTCCTAAAACAAATAATTTGTATCTGTTGTTTATGACCTAGAAGTGTCATTCTTGATAACCAATTCTCCTGAACACCCATGAGAGTCTACTCTAATTTCTTTTACTTGCAAATACACTACAGGCTCACAATCACTACTGTGACCTATAAATTTTTGTGTTGTTTACTGTCAGATTTCCAGGTGTGGAAAGGAAAAGAATCATATCTGGGGAAATGATGGCTTTGATCAACTGGAAAACATAATGACTAGAATTCTGCTTGTCTCTGCTTTTTTTATAATCATCAAAATCCGTGAACATTAAAGAAAGTATTCCCAGAAAGGCTGTCCTGTCACCTACTAGAGGTAGATCATGCATAAAAGGTAGAAAATATAGGTAAGGGCAAAAAGAAACAAATGTTTTCTTCCTTGTTTACCATTTATAGAAGAAAAAGGGGCAGGGCATCAAATGTAGATAGTCAAAATCCTCAGGGTAAGGGAAACCTGGAAAACTTAGCCAATGACACCTTCAGCGAAAACAATAGATTAATAGAGGATAGAATAGCTCAGGCTCCTCCTACAGGAGGTCTTGATTCCCCAGCTGCCATTTCTGCTGTCACCAAAATTATCTTTATTTTGTATACACTCATATCTGTACATACAACCATAGTTTCTTCCAGGAAGTTATGTTTCATTTTTGCCTTTGTATTCCCAGCAAGTACCTTGTATCAGTCCCTGGTGCATAGTAGGCCCCTAATACACGCTTGTTAATTGATAGATGAACTAGGCGAGACTGGGAGAATTGGATAGGATAGGGTAAAATGGAGTTTTCTGAGATGGAAAGCAATCGAAATCATCTAAACCAGTCTCATTTCCACAGGAAGAAACTCAGAGCCCAGGAGATACCATGTCTCATAGTAGCTTTCACAGATACTAAATAACATAACTGAGGTCTTCACTTTCAACTGTTCTATACTTTATCTTACACAGGATTTAATTTTTGTTACTTTTTAATGTGTTTTGGGGTAGTCAGAACTTAAGTGAATTAGAAACCACTCTCAATAGAGCAGTTGGAGGGCACAGTGGATAGACTTCGACTAGAATAATGAAAACTTGGCTTCAAAGCCTGCTTCAGACACTTACTAGCTGTATGACCCTGGGCAAGTCACTTAAACTCTGTGTCTCAGTTTCCTCATTAGTAGAATGAGTGTGTTGGACTTGATGCCTTTCCATAGCTGTAATTCTCTTCCCCTGATGGGAGCTGGCTACTGGAAGGTTTATTATACATGTTTTCAGGGTGGGTGCTTAGTAGGGTTAGGGCACCTATCTCTGAAACATGCTGTAAACACTGGGATGTTAAGAATATAAAGGGGCTAGTTCCTTATATTAAAATTTTAGATAGTTGTAAGCTATATGCAACTTGGTGGGGCAGTGGATAGAGCACCAGGCCTGGAATCAGGAAGACCTGAATTCAAATCAGCCTCAGACATTTCCTAGATGTGTGACCCTGTGCAAATCACTTAACCCTGGTTACCTCAGTTTCCTCATCTGTAAAATGAGCTGGAGAAGGAAATGGCAAACCACCCCAGTGTCTGCCAAGAAAACCCCAAATTGGGCCAAGAAGAGTCTGAAACAACAGCTGAAACAACCGAACAACAACAAAGCTATTTGGGGCTGAGACAAAGATGTATTCAGTGAGATATTTAGAAAGAGGTTAAATGAGGAATTAAAGGATCTGTCAGTGAATTATTTGGCTCCAGATAACTTGACTGGATTAACAAAGCTCCCAGCTCCAAAGAATGAGTGTCTGTGCCTTAATCAGACCATATCCAGTGTGTTTACTGTGTTGGGTGCGGGGTGGGGGGGGCTGACGAGGATTATTTGAGAATGGATATAGTTGCATATGTACCCCATATCAAATTGCTTACAATCTTCAGGGCTGGGGGAGGTGAGGGAGGGAGGGAGAAAATATGGAACTCAAAATTAAAAAAGAATGTTAAAAATTGTCTTTACACGTAATTGGGGGGAAAATATATACATATACATATATGTATATTTTTTTTTAAAGAAAGAATGGATATAGACAAATTGGAGTAGAGGCATAGGTCTTTAGTCAGAGTGGTGAAAGAGCTGGGGACCACACCATTAATAGCTTCAGTGGCGTGAACTAGGAATGGTTAGTCTGGCAAACAGAAGACTTAGGAGCTATCTTATAGCTGTCCATGTAACATCAGAGTTGCCCTGTGCAATAGGGATTAAATTTGTTCAGTTCAGCCCCAGAGGGCAAAACTAGAAGCAATTGGTAGAAATTATAGAGAAGTGAAGTTAGATTAGATGCAAAATAATCAATTTCTATTCTTTAGTCCTATCCCAAAATGGAATGAACTGCCTTGGAAGTAGCAGGCTCCCCTTCACAGAAGGCTTTTAGACAGAGGTTGGATGGCAGCTCATCAGGGAGGCTGTAAAAAGGATTCATGCTCAGGAATGGGTGAAACTTGACCCTTCCAAGTCTCAGATTTGGTGGATACTAAACATTCAATGGATACCTCTACTCCTGAGGCCTTAAAACTTTATAAGACCTATCAAGTCCCCCAAACCTTGAAGCATCACCTCAGACTTACTGAACTAGCTGGGTTATTTTAGTCAGGGTGTTTTCTCTCTCTAGTCAGGCATCAGTTTCTCCATTTGTAAAGTGAAGAGATTAGACTAGATCAGGGGTTCTTAACCTAGGGTTCATGGATCCCTTTCCCATGGATAGATTTCAAGGGGTCCAGGAATTCGTTTTTCAAAAATATTTCCATAACTGTATTTCAATATAAGTGGTTTCCTTTGTTAATCCTATGTGTTTTGTTTTATGCATTTAAAAACCTTATTGTGAGAAGGGGTTCACAGGTTCACCAAATGCCCAGAAGAGTCCATAACAGGAACAAGTTTAGGAACCCATGAACTTGATAGATGATTTCCATGATGATTTGAAGCCTATCTCTGTAGAGATTCATAGCACTCCTAGACCACTGCTTCTGTCTGGAGAACCTAACCAGAGTCATCCACATTCCCAGACTCTCTTCTTCCCCTTTCCTTCTCCCTCCCAGATTAGGTTCAGTGTCATTCACAAGCCAATGGGATGGAAATATCTGGCAGGACATATTCTTCAGCCTAGGTCAGCTGAGAATAAATGTATTATAAATTACTGGAGAGTCAGGAAGAAGAGGGGTAAGGAGGAAAAACACTTTCTGGGGAATACTACTCCTGAATCTAGGGGTGGAAAATGAAAGTGTGATAAGGGATGGGGAATATTCTACAGAGCAGGTATAGTAGTTTTCTTTTCCCCCAATTCTTATCCCAATGGATAGTGGCACCTCAACAGAGGAACAGCTGTTACTGATAGTAATTGAGTGCCTGAGCTAATCTCTCTCCCCCTAAGCTTAAATTTTGTGGGAATGAGAAGCTCTTGGGGGGGGCAGGGGGGGATGTGGGGGGTTGCCTTCCAATTCCCAGGTAAAGAATAGCAACTACTTCTTAACCCTAAAGGAGCTGAGAGAGCTAGGTACTCTTCCACTGTCTCACATCCTAACAATACCTATTTTATAAAAAGGCAGTGCTGGTGACCTATATCAGTACCATCCCATAATACTATGATAGAAATTATTACCCAAAAAAAGTTTAAAACAAGTCAGTTCTCTCTTCTGATTTCCAGGCTAGGATTGAATAGTCATGATCTCATCTCCTCCCTTCCCTTCTCTGCCCCCTGCACTAAAACACACATGTTTTAATTCACCCCTGGATCTCACACCATATCAATACCCTTTGCCCCTGGGAACTCTCCCTCTGATTAAAGGGTGGAGAGCTCCTCCCAGAAACTGCAAGAGAGGGCCCAGTTTAGCCATCTCTTTATTTACTACCAAGATATATTCCTCTGATCTTTTCTGTCACATGCAGGAGCTGGGTACCTTCCCTTCCCCACTACCTTTGGTTTCCTTTTGTTGTCTTCCGCCGTTAGATTGTGAGCTCCTTCAGGGAAGTAATTGTCTTTCTTCTCCATATTTGTATGCCCAGCACTTATCACATGGTAGGCTCTTAATAAATGTTTACTGACTGACTATTGACTAATTATTTTGTCTCAGTAGTTTTACCCACCTCCCCAGTACTATTTAAGCAAGGAAGAAAATCCTTGTTGTGGAAACCCAGGAAAGAAAACAAACAAGATCCCTGAAATTTGGAATGAGCTGTGCCTGAGCAGGGGCTCCAGCTGGAGAGGACATTAACCCCCATAGATGCAGAATCTCTGATCTTTCTATTGCTAAATATTTGACCCACCAGCTGCTTCAGCCTAGAAATAACTGCTGAGCAATTGGAGGTATCACAATGAACTTGGGTGGACCTAAGGAATTTTGCTTTACTGAACAGTTCAAATGTTGGTTATAAGCTATAAGACATTGTTTAGAAATTGTCTTAATGTATAATTTAGGTTTATTGATTTGTATAGACAAACATGAGATCATAGCCTCATAGATTTAGAACTCAAAGGAACTTAAGGGAACATCCAGTCCAATTCTGTCATTTTACAGATGAGGAAGCTGAGTCCTAAAGAAGTGAATTTATTTGCCTAAGATCACACTAGTAGCAAGCAGTAGAATCAAGATTTAAACCCATATCCTCTATATCCCAAACCAGAGTTCTTTCCCCTTCACCCAAATATACATACATATATACATGTTTTTTATGTTTTAAACAAATACACAGGGGCAGCTAGGTGGCGCAGTGGATAGAGCGCCAGTCCTGGAGTCAGGAGGACCTGAGTTCAAATCTGACTTTAGACACTTGACACTTACTAGCTATGTGACCCTGGGCAAGTCATTTAACCCCATTGCCTAGCCAAACAAAAACAAAAACAAACAAATACACATGTGTGTGTGTACATATGTTTATATATACATATATATGTGTGTATATGTGTATATATATATACATAACTTGAATTGTTTAGTTGATCTTTACATATACATTCTTGTCCTTATGAGTTTTGAAATAGCAAAACCATAGAATGTCAGAGCTGAAAGGGAACTTGGAGTTCAAATATTATAGCTGAACTCTTATTTTACAGTTAAGGAAACTGAGACTCAGAGAAAGGGAGACTTGATCAAGGCCACAAAGATAGTTAGGGGCAAAGCTGCGATTTGAATCTGGATCTACTGTTTCCAATCCAATGCTCTACTCACTATACCATGGCTTCCTAAATGAAAAACTAGCCAAGATTGGACAGACATTGCTAAAAGCCATCATGGCACCAGGTACGGATCTTGCCTCCTTTAGTTGCTAAAGCAATAATTAGCTCACCAAGTATCCTGCCAATTATGAAAATCTGTTGTTCTGGTGCAAAGTGAGAGAAACTGGGTGAGAGGGATGTGTCCCTTAGATGGAACTGCCCTCTCCACAGCTGACCCAGGAGAGAAGGCACCTTCTCAAAGATACCGCCTTCCAAGCTTTATTTAGGTGATCTCTGTTTTCTTCTCGTAGGGATCTCTGGTAAGGAGAAGCTCCTGTAACAACCAGAAAGGGAAGAAGATTATTAACAAAGACTCATGGATTCCCTTCTATAGGGCAGAGTAAAACACAGAATTGTCAGAGAAACCTGGGGTTCATTTATTCAATTCATTCAAGAAATGTTTATTAAACACTATTATATTCAAGATACTGGGGATACAAAGGCATACACAAAACAATCCTTGACCTTAAGGAGGGAATCTAACATAAAGTAAGTAAATGCAAACTGCATACAAAGGAATTTCCTGAGGAGTGAAAGAGCTACTAACTGGAGGTATCAGAAAAGACCTCATGTAAAAGGTGGCACCTGAGCTATCTTGAAGGGAACCAAAGATTCCAAGAGGTAAAGGTGAGGGAAAGGATGCTAAGCCTTAGACCTTAGAGGTTCAACCCTCTTATTTTGCAAATGAAGAAATTAAGACCCAGAGAAGAAAAGTGATTTGCAAAAGGACATACAGAAAGCAAAAGTATCTGGGCCAAGATTCAAATTTAGATCTTGAGACTGGAAGTTCAGTATTTTTCCTCACTGAAACTGCCCTCCACAGAAATAGCAAAGAGAGGTGAAGTTTTAAGGAAAGATAATGAATTTCATCTTTGGAATGTTGAGTTTGGGATACCTGTGGGTCTTCTAGGTAGAGGTGTCAAGCAGGCTATGATAAGATGTGTGTGTGTGTGTGTGTGTGTGTGTGTGTGTGAGAGAGAGAGAGAGAGAGAGAGAGAGAGAGAGAGAGAGAGAGAGAG